TTCTAAGACTGAAACTCAACGGGAACCTGCGAGCAGTCTAGTATGCTCACTAGGTGACCATTCTGATCTATTTGTGAGTGGAAGTGGGGGAAATGCAGCAATGAAGACATAGACTGAGTTTGGCTATCTTCCACTGACAACCATTGACCTTGACATGAGAAAGAGATGAGGAAGGATTGACTGGTCTAAAGTTTAGGGAGATGTGTGAACATCTGACTAGCTCATGAGCACTGACCTAGCCACTGGGGGCTAGAGCTGACAATGAAGTGGCCAACTGGTCTGAAGTACTGGGAGGTATGCATGAACTTCCAAGCTAACAGCTAGTACCCAGTTGTCCTATCTTGGATGGATAGCTGGTCAGAACTGGACTAGATGAAGGTAAAAATACTTGATACTGTGAGCAAGTATAAATTGATACAATTTGATGAATTGAACCTTTGCTTATGGATGTAGTTGCTCAAAATTACATCTGAAATGGAAGGATTCTCTGTGTCAAGGTTCAAATTTGTTTTCTAAGTGAACTGGGTCACTTGGTGTTGTTGTTCTGTGCTGTGGAGTCGGTTCCGACTCATAGCGACCCTGTGCAGGGTTTCCGAGGCTGTAAATCTTTATGGGAGCAGAAAGCCTCATCTTTCTTCCACAGAACAGCTGGTAGTTTAGAACTGCTGACCCTGAGGTTAGCAGCCTGATTCATAACCACTACACATCCAGAGCACTGGGTTGGTAGGGATTAGCAATTTAGACATTGGCTGTCAAAAGTGGGGGGCTATAACGGCACAAAGCAGTAGGCTTACACGCTTGTATGAGTGTGCTTAGTTTCAGTGGCCTGGAAATGGGAGATGTCTGGAGGGGTACCCCAAGAACTCAGGCTTACACGCTTCTATCCTCCACAGCATCAGGCTTCTGGGCCTGTGGCCATCCTCCCTGTTGCTGGGGGTCTGGGTGTAGTAGGGGGACCACTTGGTGAGGTGGTGTGAAGTGAATTCAAAGGGCAGAGGGTGGTGTCTGTCAGCAATGGACAAGTTGATCCCTGACCAGTTATTTATGGGGGTCAAGGTCTTCTGGGACCAGGGGAGTAGAGTCTCTGGGAGCCAAGATGTTGGGTGTGCCAAACCAGCTTTTTTTCGTAGCAACAACAGAGATGGTAGCAGAGGCGATGGCATGGAGAGATAGAGCAACTGAGGACTCTAGGCCCATGGACTGAGAAAGGCTGTGTGCCTGCGGACAGGAGGATGGCTTACAGAATGTACTCTTTGGACCTTTGTATGAATATATATTTTTTGTTTTGTATTTACACATCAAATATTTTTTCTTTGTTGGTTTGTGAAAAATAAGATGTAAAGGGGAAGCCACAGGAAATAAGCAGAATAACTGTTGTTGCAGGGAGGGGATTGTAATCATTTAGATGAAGCAAAACATATGATTGGTTAAAAGTACAGCTGATGATCTTGTCTTTTAACCTTTACTCAATTCATAATAAAAAGTTTGGGGGAAAAAAAAAAAATCTTCACAACTGGACCAATCAGTAATATCATGATAAACAGAGAAAAGAATAACATTGTCACGGAGGTGGAGACAATGGCGTGGAGAGATGGAGCAGCTGGGGCTTGAGATCCAGAGAAGGAGAGGGGCTGTGTGCTGACGACCTGGGGCGGTGGGGAACAGGCTTGCAGGGTATATACCCTTTAGTTGGTTGATGATGCATGGAGGGGATTGTAACTATGACAATGAAATGATATATGACAGAATGAATGTAAAACTAATGTTCTCCCATGTAAACTATCACATAATTCACAATAAAACATTTATAAAAAAAAAAAAGATTGACGTTGTCAAAGACTTCATTTTGTTTGGATCCACAATCAACACTCATGGAAGCTGCAGTCAGAAATCAAATGATGTATTACATTGAGCAAATCTATTGCACACGACCTCTTTAAAGTGTTCAAGACCAAAGATGTTACTTGAGGAGTAAAGTGCAGGTGAATCAAACTATGGTGTTTTAAATTGTGTCATATGCATCGGAATGTTAGACAATGAATAAGGAATACCATTAAAGAAGCAATGCATTTGAATTATGGTGTTGGAGAAGAATGTTGAAAGTACTATGATCTGCCAGAAGTACAAACAAATCTGTCTTGGAAGAAGTACAGCCAGAATGCTCCTTAGAAGCAAGAAGGGTGAGACTTCTCCTCTTGTTCTTTGGACATATTGTCAGGAGGGATCAATCCCTGGAAAAAGTTATCATGCTTGGAAAAGTAGAGTATCTATGAAAAAACAAAGATCCCCACAAAATGAATTGACACGTGGCAGCAACAACGGGCTCACATGTGTTAAGATTTTTGTGACATAACAATTATGAGGATGGCACAGGACCAGGCAGTGTTGTGTTCTGTTGTACATAGGGTCACTATGAGTTTGAAACTTCTTGAGAACACCTAACAACAGCAATAACAACAACATGAAAGATCAGCTTTCATCATGCCTGCTATCCCCCCCCTCCCCCAAGAAGAACTTTAAAGCTAGATTTAACAAAATACATATATTGCTGTAGAAACATTTCCTGCACTCTGTGTCTATAGGAAAGTATTGGTGAACCAATTAGTCAGCCAAGGCTTGAATGACCAAGATCCTACTGAGAAAGAGGAGTGCAGAGAGTGCCTCCTAGTGCTCAATAACATTTTCTTTTTTCTGATATGCCAAGCGTAGCTGAGAATCTGAGAAGATTCTACTGTCTTTTGAAGCTGGAGAAAAAATGTTCTGTGAAGACCAAGGTGAAGGATCCTCAGTAAACACTCCAAGCTTTCAACTGGACCCATTCAAAGGTTACATTCTAGAAATAAAGATGAGCCAGAAAGAGATGAGCCCTTTCAAAATCTGAAACCCCAGCCTCTCATCCATTTACTTTCTGGTCTAATTATAGTATTACTGCCTATAAGTACTTTCTGAAGGAAGATATTATCCAGAGCCTTACATTATCGCTAAGATTTTCATTCAGAATGTCTGACATGCAGTAAAAAATTAACAAGTATACTGCTGCTATTGTTGTGTGCCATTGAGCCCGTTCTGATTCATAGCGAAACTGTAGCCGGTGGGTTTGAACTGCTGACTTTGCGTTTTAAAGTCCTGTGTTTATTCTAAAGTACCACACCAGGACTCCACCAAATGGCAGAAAAGTAAAAAAATTTTTGACAGCAACATAAAAGAGGAAAAGAAAAAATGAACAGATGGGCTAGCAGTTACTACCTAGACACACAGGGTTCCTGGTATTGGAATTCTCAGAAATGGACTTTAAAATAACTGTGTGGTGTGTTCAAGAAAGTAGAGGTCATTATCCAGTAGATCTAAACAGAGGAATCTAAGAGAATTTCTAGAAAATAACTGAAATAATTACCCAATAAAAGATTTTAACAGATTAGAAAGAGTCAAAGAAAGGACTAGGTAAGTATAAACATTTCCAGCCTAAAGTATAGACAGTAACTAAAGAGGATGGAAAATACAGAAGAGAGAGCATGGGACACTGGGGAGGGAATGAAAAGATTTAACATACAACTATTTAGACTCTCAGAAGAAGAGAGGGAGACTGGGACACAAGCAATATTTAAAGAGTTAATGACCCATACTTTTGTGAAACCTATGAGAAATGTTGAGCCATAAATTCAAGATGGCACCATCCCTAAATATGATAAATAAAATCAGTTTAGCTACATCAGGTTGTATCATCTACATGTCGCACATTGGCACCTGTCCAATCCTGATGCCATGTTCTTCTTCAGATAATTGAGCTTCTCAATTTTTTTGCTCAGCATACAGATTTAATATAGTGAAAGAATACAACCCTGGCACACACTTTTTCTGATTTTAGACAATTCAGTGTTCCCTTGTTCTCTATGAATGACTGCTTCTTGGTCTATGTAGAGGAGTCTCATTACTACTATTAACTATTGCAGAGTTTTAAAAAAATCAATTTAGATACCTCATAGGAAAAACTGCTGGAAACTAAAAGCCAACAGAAAATCCTAAAAGCAGCCAGAACAAAAGGCACATTGCGTTCAAAGGAGCAAAAGTTAGACAGAGAGATCACCCTTAACAGAGAAAATGGAATCCAGAAGATAAAAAAATGACGTCTCCAAAGTGATAAAGGAAAATAGCTGCTAACTTAGAATTTCATACACGTAAGAAATATCTTTCAGAAATGAAGGCAAATATCCAGACTATGAAAAACCCTACAGGATACATAACCTCCTTTCTTCAATAATTGCAAGAAAAATCAAAGTCTGGAAGGGAACTTACAGAATAAAAGTCATATCAACTATCAGTCTGTGTTTACTTATTGGGATCATAATTCATAAAACTCAGCAAAGTGTTAAAAAGGTTTTTTTGACATACTTGACCTAACAAAACTTGTTAAGTTTGGTTCAGTGAATAATGATTTGTGGTTATATTTAAAAGTACTCTATTTTTTAGAGCTACATGTGGAAATGTGTATAGATAAATTATTTGATGTCCAATATTTGCTTCAGAATAATGCAGGAGGTAGGGGTAAGAGGAGAGTAGTATGAATGAAACAAGAGTGGCGTTGAGGTACTCATTGTGTAAGTTGCATGTTGCACTCGTGGGAATTCACTTATACTATATCCATTTTTCACTATTTTGAAATTCTTCATAATATTAAATTAAATTATGACATAAAGATATTTTTCAGACCAAAAAATTATATAGAAACAGAGGGAGAGATGTTTTTACCAACAGAATGGAGAATATTTCTTCAGGCAGAAGAAAAATGGTCACAAATGGAATCAATATTCTCTAGTTGGGAAGGAAAGGGAGAAGGCACATTCAAAGAGCACTTCATGTTTTCAGATTTGGTGATATAATGATAAGAAATCAGTTGGACAAGCATTTTCTAGTAGATGATGAGATACCAGATTTAACAAAAGCTGTGTGAGACCTTGAGTTCTTCATCGTAAAAGTCAACATGTTTTAAAACTACTTTTCAGCTTACCACTTTGTATGAAAACTTAAGTATGCACAATCAGCAATTAGAAGAAGAAGTAAAAGATCTGGCAGACAAGAAAGAGTCAGTTGCACATTGGGAGGCCCAAATCACAGAAATAATTCAGTGGTGAGTACTCTTTTAAATACGTTTTTATGGATGATTGTAGGCATACGATCAAATTGATATGAATTCCAGAAGATTAGTAATATGTTTTTTATCTTGTTTGCTGTACAAAATAAGTTACAATGAAAAGCAGTTTTATTACTTTTCTGTCATTTGTGTTGTATCTTCTGTTCGTCTGTTTCCTAACTTCAACAAGTATCTCATACCAATTTGCACAGCTTCATTCAAACCTAGTAATTTTTTCTAAGGAAAGCTATCCTCTCCTAAGACAGGCCTTCAAGAACTAAAGAAACATATCCAGTAGCTATAGATCCTCTTTTCGGAGATCAAAACAACTGTATTTGTGATTGGGTTTTTGTTTGTTTTTTTTTTAAAAAAAAAAAAGGCTGAAGAAAAATTTAGAAACTGGAGATGCTGTTCTATCTCCTTCTTTCCTAATTATATCAGATTAATTCACACATGGCATTTAAAAAACCTTATATTTTTACACTTTAATTTTATCATCTGCTCCTTAAACTCTTGTGTTTTTAACTTGGAATAATTCTTTCAGTAACCTTCATATTCATCAGTCTCTTACTTGTAAAAAAAACTGCTGCATATTTTTATAGTACATGGTGAAAGAATCCTATAAAAATGTCATTCTCTAATGAAAACAGCTTAGCTTTTTATATGCATTTTGTAACTTCCTTTATTCTTTCTGACACATCATGAAATTTTAATTTATATGAAAACCAGGGCTTCAAACTTGTTCTTCCCAGTTCAATCATGGCCAAAGTAGTGAAATTAGAACAGACCCAATTTATAAAATGTGGTTGTACCAGAATGATAACCAGAACAAGAAAATTAGCAAATTGACACCCTGCTAGAAATTTACTCTCCTTCTTAGAAAAAAGAGGGCAGTATGCAAGCTGCATAACAGTGAGGCTCTTGATCAGCAGAGTCAGGAATGGGGCACATCTCAAAGATGGCAGCTGACTGCTGCTTTGATATATGTCACTCTCCACAGTCCATCACATAGACTCTTGACAGGCTCACTATGCTTCTTCCAAGTCTTTCATTCCAGGACTTCGACCCATAATTTTTCCCATTCTGGTTTTTGTTCCAGTATAACTCATTTTACAGATTTAGGGCTGTTCTGGTTTTGTTGCATTGGCTGTGACAGAACCATTTTGAACTGGTTCAAAGCCTTGGTGGTTTTTTTTCACATATCCATAGACCAGTCATGTGTTGGGAATTTTTGTTTCCTGTGCTAATATTTTAGTTCTTTAAGGATTTTGCCATTTTCCATCAGTTTTTTGTATTGTGGTGGCTTGTGAGTTGCTGCGCTTCTGGAAGCTATGCCATAGGTATTTTAAATACCAGCAGGGTCACCCATGGTGGACAGGTTTCAGATGACCTTCCAGACGAAGACAGACTACGAAGTAGGTGTGATGAATTACTTCTGAATATTTAGTCACTGAAAACCTTATGAATAGCAGAGAAACACTGTCAGATATAGTGCCAGAAATTAGCCCTTCAGGTTGGAAGTCACTCAAAATACAACTTTGAACATTGTTGTTCAAACAGAACACGGGAACACTGAATGGTTTAAAATTAAGAAAGGTATGCAACAGGGTTGTATTCTTTCACCATACTTATTCAACCTGTATGCTGAGCAAATAATACGAGAAGCTGGGCTATATGAAGAAAAAACGTAGCATCAGGATCAGAGGAAGACTCATTAACAATCTGTGATATGCAGATGATACAGCCTTGCTTGCTGAAAGCGAAGAGGACTTAAAATATTTACTGATGAAGATCAAAGAGCACAGCCTTTGGTATGGATTGCATCTCAATGTAAAGAAAACAAACATCCTTACACTGGACCAATAGACAACATTCTTATCATCAGAGAAAAGATTGAAGTTGTCAAGGACTTCATTATTCTGGGATCAACCATTAACACTCATGGAAGCAGCAGTCAAGTAATCAAACGCCGTATTGCATTAGGCAACTCTGATGCACAAGACCTTTTTAAAGTGTTGAAGAGCAAAGATATCAGCTTGAGGACTAAGGTGTGCCTGACCCAAGCCATGATATTTTTAGTAGCCTCATATGCATGCGAAAGCTGGACAGTGAATAAGGA